GGAGAGGAGAGGAGAGAGGAGAGGAGAGGAGAGGAGAAGAGAGGAGAGGAGAGGAGAGGAGAGGAGAGGAGAGGAGACGCGCGGCACCGTCTCTTCAAAACGAGGACCCAACACCATAGGGAAAAATCAATCATTTTCAATGGGCGTTTGAAGGATTCTGGCGTTTGCTCATTTTCGGCTCCATGAAGGCCGAAGAGGCCCCCAAGACGCCCCCAGGAGGGCCCCAAGACGGCACAAGAAGCCTCCCAGACGCCCAAGATGGTCTCCAAGACGGCCCTGAGGCGCCCCAAGACGGCCCAGAGAGGGCCTCAAGACGACTTCCGACGGCGTAAGACGGGCCAGGAACGCACCAAAGGCCCCCAGCAGGCCCAAGGAGGCCCCAAAGACGCCTCGAAGAGGCCCCAAAGAAGCTCCCAGCAGACCCCAAGGGTGCCCCAAGAGACTCCCAAGAAGCCTCATCATCCTTCGCTTCCTCTTCCTCTTCCTCTTCCTCTTCACGTTCATTCTCCCCCAAGTGTTCCCCGAAAGCTTTCCAAACCGACTCGGGGAACTCATGTTGACCCAATAAAGCTCAAGGGTGCCTCAAGAGGCTCTCAAGAGGCCTCGTCCTCCTCCCTCTCCTTTTTCCTCCCCCACTCCTCCTCTTCCTCCTCCCCCACGTGTTCCCCGAATGTTGTCCAAACCGACTCGGGGAACTCATGGTCCGATAGCTTGGCCAAGCGCTAGCGAAACTGTCGGCCACATAGACGCTTCCAAAAAGGCAGGGGGCAGCGGGCAGCGGTGATTCGCCGTAGGCGTCTTTGATATAAATACAAGCATAAGTCACGCAGCACCCAGAAGCCGCAACAGCGACCCTCCCCCAAGGGGTCGGCGGTGTGGCGTAAGCCAAAGAATCAAACAGGGCAGGGCTGTTCAGTAAACGCCCAGGGCCGTTCTGTTCACGCCAATTGTCGTGTCCAGACGGTTTTTCATTCCTCGCATGTTCCTGAGGCTGCAGAAGACGCCCGAGGAGCGAGGCCCCGAAGAACTTCCGAGGACGTCGGCGGGGGCTGTTGGAGGAGGCGGCCGCGGGGGCCTGCTCTGGCTGGCGCCCGGGGAAAACCAGCAGGGAGGGGACCAGGGGGGAGGGGCCCTTTCGGCACTCTGACTACCTGCCAGACCACCCCCAGGACCGGCCCGAGGAGCCGCATCTCGGGCAGGGCGGGGCACGCCCTTCACGTGTCTTCGGCAGTGTTCCCCCGAGCCCCCCCCCCCCGCCCCACTGGAGAATGGCGGGCAGATCGGGCCCTTCGGGTCGGGTTGGAGTGGCCCGGTGGGCGGCGGCACGCCGTGCCCCTTCTTGGAGAGGCGGCCCGGGGCGGGAGAGGGAGCGGAATTCCTGGGCACGGCGGTGCCCCTCCCCACTCTCTATGGCGGCTGCGGGGGAACCAAAAGGTACCCATACCGCCACTCCACGGACCTTTGGACGACTAAAATGGTCACGGGAAAGATTGGCACAATGCCCAGCAATACACGCTGTCCAAAACCGACAGCGGCCGCTGTTGGGCAGGCGGCTTCTTGTCTTCAATGAACAACGTCCGTGGCGGCGCGGACAGCGAGTCCTGTTCAAAATGAACCAGAACTGCTGTCGGTCTTTGTACCCATTCTTTCCCTACCCATTTCGATCGTCCCGAGGACGGCTCCAGAAGTGCGTCCTGACAAAGAGTTCGGGGCGAATCCAGCGGTGGCGACGAGGGCCTCCCAGGAGGTCCAAAAAGGGGAATGCGAGGAAGGGTAGAGGTATGGGTACCTTCTCCCCCTCACTGGCGGCTGGGACCACTGCTGCCCCACCTCCGCCTCCCGGCCAGTTCTCAAGGGTGGCGGCACCGGAGGGCCCCCTGGCTGGAGCGGAGGCCGCTGGGCGCAACAACCTTCGGGATCCACCAAAGAGGGGGTGACCCTGAGGGGGGGACATGAGCTCGATCCGCTGGTGGACCGAGCTGCCGCAAACAGATGCCCCCCGCATGCCCCACCTGCCTGCAACGATCGGGAGCTGCCTGCGGCTGGTGGGCGTCTGTTTTTGGGAGTTCGGTGCCAACCGATCGAATCGGGGATCTACTGACCCGGGTCAATGCAAGCCTGGGTCAGCCAGGCCGTGCAGGATCCTGCAAGATCCTGCAGGATCCTGCACGGCCCTGCACCCAAACCCGGGCCAGTGCGCCCCTGACCCTGCAGGATCCTACAAAATCAGGCACTCTGACTGACACCCGTTTGCATCGACCCCCGTCTCTTGAGCCCCGATCGAACTCACATTTTTTTTGCGTCGGCGGCTGGGCAGAGGTTACTGCTCCGGCGATGTGGTACGAGAAGGGCGCAAAACGTGCAAATTGGACCGCAGCGCACACGCTTCGCACTTTTGGTCAGCAGCCGCAGGCGAGAGCGCCAGCGGCGAGTCGAGTCAGAGCGGGCCGCGCAAAGACGAATTTACCTGAAGCCGATGGGCCGCCACGCCACACACACACACACACACACACACACCGGGGCACACACACACACCCTTTGCGGGATCCCGAGACCTCGTTCTCGGCGCTGCAGAAGGGGCACGCCGCCCGCGCGGTCACGGTCGGCCCCGCCCGGGCCCCACCCGGGGCGGGCCTGCCAGGCCTGCCGGGGGGGGGGGGGGGGAATGGCCTGCGTGCAGGGAGGCTGAACCTTTCGGCGGCGAGCGGGGGAGGGGGAATGAGAAGGAGAAGGTCTTCTCAGAAGGCGGTGGGACTTCTCAGAAGCCCTCGAGCCTGACTGAGTGGTTTTTGTGCGTTCTTCGGGGGGATGGCTCAGAGAACTTCTCATAAGGCTGGGGGAACTTCCGGAGCCTTTCTGAGAAGGCCCGAACTATCCTCACTTCCACTCGCATACGCCGCCGAGCCTTTGCTCACGATAATCGTACAAATTTGCTTTACAATTTATCCGGCAAGGCAATTCCGATCAGCGTGTGTAGGAGCATATTTGGAAGCATTCCCCTTACGATTCAGATGAGAATCCTGTTGTAGAATTCTGCTGTTCTCGCAGTCGTAGTCGCATTCGCGATGGCAGTCGCAGTGGCAACGGCAGTCGCAGTCACAGCCTCAGCCTCAGCCTGCCTTGCCTCAGCCTCAGCCTCAGCCTGCTTCAGCCTCAGCCTCAGTCTGCCTTCAGCCTCGGCGTCAGCCTCAGGCTGCCTCAGCCTCTGCCTGCATCAGCCTCAGCCTCAGCCTCAGCCTGCCTCAGCATCAGCCTGCCTCAGCCTCAGCCTCAGCCTGCCTCAGCCTCAGCCTGCTTAAACGTCAGCTTCGTCTGCCTGCAGCACTCGGCCTCAGCCTCAGCTCTGCTCAGCCTTCGAGTCATGCATCCTTCAGCCTCATGCCTTCAGCCTGCCTCAGCCTCTGCCTGCTTAAGCCTCGGCCTCAGCCTGACCATCAGCCTCGCCTCAGCCTGCTTCAGCCTCGGCTCAGTCTTGCTCGGCTCAGCCTCACCCTGCGCTGCTCAGATGACTCATCATCAGCCTCAGACTCTGGCAGCCTGCGCCAGCCTCAGCCTGCCTCAGCCTCAGCCTCAGCCTGCCTCAGCCTCAGCCTCAGCCTGCTTCAGCCTCAGCCTCAGTCTGCCTTCAGCCTCGGCCTCAGCCTCAGCCTGCCTCAGCCTCAGCCTGCATCAGCCTCAGCCTCAGCCTCAGCCTGCCTCAGAATCAGCCTGCCTCAGCCTCAGCCTCAGCCTGCCTCAGCCTCAGCCTCAGTCTGCTTCAGCCTCAGCCTCAGTCTGCCTTCAGCCTCGGCCTCAGCCTCAGCATGCCTCAGCCTCAGCCTGCATCAGCCTCAGCCTCAGCCTCAGCCTGCCTCTGCATCAGCCTGCTTCAGCCTCAGCCTCAGCCTGCCTCAGCCTCAGCCTCAGTCTGCTTCAGCCTCAGCCTCAGTCTGCCTTCAGCCTCAGCCTCAGCCTCAGCCTCAGCCTGCCTCTGCATCAGCCTGCTTCAGCCTCAGCCTCAGCCTGCCTCAGCCTCAGCCTCAGTCTGCTTCAGCCTCAGCCTCAGTCTGCCTTCAGCCTCGGCCTCAGCCTCAGCCTGCCTCAGCCTCAGCCTGCCTCAGCCTCAGCATCAGCCTGCCTCTGCATTAAGCCTGCCTCAGCCCTCAGACTACAGCCTCACTCAGCCTCAGCCTCTAGCATGCTTCTGCCTCAGCTCAGTCTGCCTTCGCCTCGCTCGCCTCAGGCTGCCTCAGCCTCAGCCTTGCATCAGCCTGCCGCTCAGCCCTCTGCCTCGCCTCAGCCTCAGCCTGCCTCAGCCTCAGCCTCAGCCTGCCTCAGCCTAGCCTGCCTCAGCCTCAGCCTCAGCCTGCTTCAGCCTCAGCCTCAGTCTGCCTTCAGCCTCGGCCTCAGCCTGCCTCAGCCTCAGCCTGCATCAGCCTCAGCCTCAGCCTCAGCCTGCCTCAGCCTCAGACTGCCTCAGCCTCAGCCTCAGCCTGCCTCAGCCTCAGCCTGCCTCAGCCTCAGCCTCAGCCTGCTTCAGCCTCAGCCTCAGTCTGCCTTCAGCCTCGGCCTCAGCCTCAGCCTGCCTCAGCCTCAGCCTGCATCAGCCTCAGCCTCAGCCTCAGACTGCCTCAGCATCAGCCTGCCTCAGCCTCAGCCTGCCTCTGCCTCAGCCTCAGCCTGCTTCAGCCTCAGCCTCAGTCTGCCTTCAGCCTCGGCCTCAGCCTCAGCCTGACTCAGCCTCAGCCTGCCTCAGCCTCAGCCTCAGCCTGCCTCAGCATTCAAAATGTGGCCCGGGAATGGATTTCTGGGAACTCGAAGAACACGAAGTGGCCTACAGTTGGCTCCGGGCATTCAAAATCATGCCCAGGAATGGAGTTCTGGGAACTCGAAGACCACGAAGTGGCCTACAGTTGGCTCCGGGCATTCAAAATGTGCCCAGGAGTGGAGTTCTGGGAACTCGGAGAACACGAAGTGGCTACAGTTGGCTCCGGGCATTCAAAATCATGCCCAGGAATGGAGTTCTGGGAACTCGAAGACCACGAAGTGGCCTACAGTTGGCTCCGGGCATTCAAAATGTGGCCCAGGAATGGAGTTCTGGGAACTCGAAGACCACGAAGTGGCCTACAGTTGGCTCCGGGCAATCAGAATGTGGCCCGGGAGTGGAGTTCTGGGACCTCGAAGACCACGAAGTGTGTAACTGTTGGCTAAAAAAAATCCCGGCCCTCGCCTGTCCAGCTCCCACCCAGACCCCCCTGGGGAGTCATCAGATGCTCTCTTTTGACCCCATTAGAAACCTATCAGTCTTCGCTGATAGGTAACCATGTACCTATGTATATATATATATATATACAAATACACATCGAATCATACTGAAAACAGTTAGAATGAAACTACTAGGAATACGAATAGCAGAAATAACGATAATACCAATAATACTAACAATAAAATGCACACCAAAACAATCGAACCAACAAAAAAACAAACAAACAAACGAAACTCTAGGTTCCCCAGAACTGTCCCAGAACTTTACGAAAACATACCATCGGTTCAACCCTTTCCCTCTGGCCCACCTTACAAGGCTAAGGAAGCGGACCTGAACCACGAACCTTGCGGGATTTTTTCGTGCGGCGTCAGCGGGCGCAAGGGTTTTTGACACCGCGTCGATCGCTCAGCCTTGAACCGATCGCGGCCCCGATCGTTCAAGGTTGAATTCCGTCGGGTCCTGTGGCGTTACCGTGCCCCTCAGTGCTGCCGCGTCTTTCTATCATGCGGCGTTGAGCCTTGAACGCCTTCGCCGGCGTCGCCGCGCGCCACCGCCGCATAAACCTACCGTAAGTTCCCCCGCCACTTCTTTTCCTCCTTCGCGCGAAGCTGGGTCCAAGTGATCGAGGCGCGCCTCTAGCGGAGGGACGCCTTCCTTGCCGGACATGCGATATGTTTTTTCTTCTGCACGCGGCCCTCAAAAAGCCCCGACCCTTTCCCCAGGGCCAGTTTTTCATCCCGCGCCGTTTCTTGACGACCTGGGGGCCCAGAAAACACCCCCAGAGGCAGAACAGTGAGAAAACAACTCCGTTATGTATGTTTTTGTTCATGACGCGAGCATGTCTGGCTTTTTCTCGCTACTGCCCCACACTCTTTTCTCATCTCTTGTTCACGATTTCCTCCACTGACGAGCACATTCCAAGCCGACACAAAACAAAATAACCGCCACCACCACCGGGACTCTTTGGGCCCGCTTCCCCGACCTCCCCATCGGTCGTGGGAAAATCGAAGCGAGAGTTCGGGCTCGGGCTCGGGCTCGGGCTCGGCTTCGGGCGCTCGGGCTCGGGCTCAGGCTCGGAGGGGGGGGATGTTGTTGCCTAGGGGCTATAGGACCGTCGACAGACAAGGTCGGCACCTCCTCTCGCCGGGAGGGGAATCAAGGCGGAGGCGTTCTGCCCAGGGCGTCCCAGGGGCGCCCAGGATGACGGCCTGAGCCATCACCCGAAGACTCCCCCGTCCTACTTGGATCCTTTTCCTGGCAAGGGCCTTCGAAGATTTTCCTGCGACTGGGCCGCTGTGCAGAACTACTGCACACAGAGTCGATACGGTAGGAGCTCGACCACAAGAAACCTTCCACAGGAAGGCCAACCCCGAGACCCCAGGACGCCCACCGATTTGTTATGCGCGGGAACGTCACGCTGTCCATCGCAAAACCATCGAAACCCAAGAACCCCAGGGCACCCTGGGGGCAAGCAGGGAGCTTCGTGGCATGGGCTCCCACCGTACACCAAGCTATACCAGAGCTTGACTGCCCGATTGCTCGAAGACCCGAGCCAGCACCCGCAGGCCCGGCCTCCTCCTCCCGTCGTTGAGGGAGCAGACGGCGGCAGGCCTCCGTGAACCCCCTCGGCCTTGGGTGGGGGCCCTCCCGGAGCCCCGGGGGGCCGTCAGAAAGCGTCTCGGGGTGGAGGGCCGTGTCCTGGACTTGCGCTTTCGGGCTTTCCTGTCCGTTCCTTGATGTCTTCCAGCCTCGGGATGCTCTCCCTGCGGCCGCGCCTCGCTGAGGGCGCTCCGGGAGTGCCCGGATCGATCCGATCGGCCGCTGGAGACCTGTGTGAGGACCCGAAAGCCAAGCTTCCTCTCGTCGCGGCAAACATGACGACGGGAGGTTTTTGGCAACTTTCGGCCTGGGGGGGGCCCTCACTGGGACCCGGGGCCGTCAGAGAACGTCGCGGGGTGGAGAGCCGTGTCCTGGAAGAGGTCCAAGACCTCTGGGGAGCCATATTTGCGAACAAGATCGCGAAGTCGGACGTCTGGGCAAGGACGACCCTCTGGCGGAGTGGCCCTTCGGGGCGAGGGGGAGGCCCAGGGGGCCCAGTGGTTGCACTTTCGGGCCAGCAGGCTGGCCGATAATTTTGCGAAGAGAGGCGCGAGGATGCATCCCGCTTCGAACGAGGTTGATGAGCAGAGGCCGCTGCTGTGGTGGTCGGCCTATTTTGTCGCTGTGTACACTGGCAGGATGCAGGATCCTGGAGAATTTAGCGGCCGCCTCCTTTCCTGATGCCCTCAAGCCTCGTCTTCGGCGTGTGTTCGATCCGCTCGAGCTCGTGTCTGACCCCAGAGGGCATCAGGTCAAGTGGAGAGGCGGCCGATGGTGCTGTTTGGCCTGTGGCCGCAATTGTAAGACCAGAGCCAGGCTTGTACAGGGTAGGCGCCCAGGAGTGTCCGCCCTGCTCTTGGCATCGCAGGCTCCGGTGGTCTGGGGGGGCTGGCTTGGTGCAGTGCGTGTCGAGCGCATGCCAGGAGGCGGGTCCTGGCCCTGGCCGAGCCCTGTTTGAAGCACCCCACCGACGGCCGAGCAAGAGCCCTGAAGGAGCTGAAGCAGGGCAAGGACCCCACCTCCAAGCGGCCCATCCCTCGGTCGAGCCCCGTAGTGCCTCCGCTGTCCCCGCGCCGTGTCGGCTGGGCCAAGGGGCTCTATGAGGTCCTGGCCGAGAGGCGGGAGGCCTGCTGGGAGGATACGGGTTGGTGGAGGGGCTTGGTTGGGTGCCTGAGGCACCGCGACCCCCCCTCCCCCGGCGAAATCGTGTTCACTGTGGACTAAGGTGGTTCCGTCGGGGCCACTGTCGGAGGAGCGGAAAAGAGGAGGAGGAGGAGGAGGAGGAGGCCAGAGTCCAGCAAAACTACGTGCGCAGCCGCAGTCGCATCGCACGCCGCGATCGGCAGGCTGCTCACCAGAGGCCTCTCCTTGCCCAGGGCCACCGGGGGAGCCCGGACCCCGCCTTGTCGCGGAGCGGGAGCACAGCGGGAGGCTCCCGGCAGAGCTCTCGGCCCCGCGGGGCCCTCGCTTCCGGGCCCCCCGAAGTCTCGTCCTCCTTCTCACACCGAGCAGTCTCTTGACGGCCCTGGGGCCCAGAGAACAGCACCGAACGAAGGTCCGATCGGGCGCCCGAGAGCCTCACGCCCCACCCAAGTGGGGACGGCGAACTGATGAAACGGGGATGCCGTGACGAGGAGCGCTGGCGGCTAAGGTGAGACCTTTGACGCAGTGTTCACAAGCGTGCTTTGGGGGAAAGGGGAGGGGGAGGGCAGGGGGAGGGCGACCAGAAACAGCACCCAGGCGCCCAAAAGTTGCGAACCGAATTACACACCTTTGGCAACTGACATCTCTGGCGGCTGACGACCTAAACAGCTCCATTTAGTACCGAAGAGAGCACTGTCGAGAAAACTATAAAGAGCGGAGGGAAGAGTAGAAAGCATCCTAGAAGGTAATAAAAAGGGAGAACAGAAGGAATGTCATCCAGGAGACCCTCAGGGAGATCCTAAGAAGACCATCAAGGAGACCATATATAAGAAGAAAAACTATAAGGAATACGAGGAGACACTACGGGACACCCAACGGGAGACCGTACGGGAGACCATACGGATCACGCGCCACCGATTATGGGTCCAGAAGGCCTCACACCCAACCTCAGAAGACACACATCAGACCCTTACTGGGAAGCTGTCTACGGAAATTCCGCCCCGATGCTGTTCGAGACGTTGGCCGTCTTGGCGCACCAGGCTCTGGCCACACAACTTGTTCGGCGGCGCGGCGCGGGGGGGGGGAGAGAAGGCAGAGGAGGCGGGCCTTCTCAGAAGGCGGCGGGGCTTCTCAGAAGCCCTCCCGCCTTTTGAGAGGCCGCCTGTGGCTTCGGGGGCGGCTCGCGAGGCTTCTCGGGAGGTGGGAAGGCTGCTGAGTGTAGCTCCACCGCCCTCTCCGAAGGCCCGCCCCCCCTCCCCCTCGCTTCACCCCAGGAGGAGGAGGAGGAGGAGGAGGAAAAGGCGGAGGAGGAGGAGGTGGAGGAGGCGGCGGAGGAGGAGGAGGAGAAGGGGAGGGGAGAAGGACAAGCTAGGTGCGCTCGCGTCATATCTGACGTCCTACCCCTCCCTCCCATCCCTTACCATGGCGCTGATTTTCTCTATCCGCGGACGCGTGTCGTAGCGGACCTGTGGCTCCGCGCGCGCGTGCGTAGTGGGTGGTGGTGCACGTGCGTGCGTGCGTGCGTGTGTGCGTGGTTGTCGTGGTGGTGGTGGTGGTGGTGGTGGTGGTGGTGGTGGTGGTGGTGGTGGTGGTGGTGGTGGGTGGGGTGTGGTGGTGGTGGTGGTGGTGGTGGTGGTGGTGGTGGTGGTGGTGGTGGTGGTGGTGTGGGTGGGTGGTAGGTGGTGCTGGTGGTGGTGGTGGTTGGTACTGGTGGTACTGGTGCTGTGGGCTGGTGGGTGGTTGTGTTGTGTTGTGGTTGTGGTTGTGGTGGTGGTGGTGGTGGTGGTGGTGGTGGTGGTGGTGGTGGTGGTGGTGGTGGTGGGTGGTGGTGGTGCGGCGCGGTGGTGGCGGGCGGATGGGCGCGCGAGAAAAGGCCCGCGCTGGGGCGAGAACGCCATCCTGAACGACGGAGGCCAAACACCAATCCGAAAATGAGGCCCACGCTGCAGCGGGAGCACGATTCGGAACGATTCGGGAGCAGAAATGAGGCCGGCGCCTCAACGAGAGCAGCATTTTGGGAAAAAATGACGCCGGCGCCTCAGCGAGAGTCGTTTCCCGGGATTTCCCGGGCATCCTGTGTGTTAAAAAACAGTACGCGGAGAATGCGCGGCCATCACCCGGACGCCATCAGGGGAAGAGGGAGAGTATTTTCATATTGAGTAATTGTGGAGGAGGAGGAGGAGGGGGGGAGAGGAGGAGGGAGGAGGAGGAGGTGGAGGAAGGAGGAGGAGGAGGGGAGGGAGGGAGGAGGAGGAGAGGAGGAGGAGGAGGAGGAGGAGGGAGGAGGGAGAGGAGGAAGGGGAGAAGGGGGGGAGAAGGAGGAGGAGGAGGGGCAGGGGAGGAGGAGGAGGGAGGAGGAGGAGGAGGAGGAGGAGGAGGAGGAGGGGGAGGAGGAGGAGGAGGAGGAGGAGGAGGAGGAGGAGGAGGAGGAGGAGGAGGAGGAGGAGGAGGGGGGGGGGCAATGTGTCGGGGGGTCTCTCGGCGGGCGGAGAGAGTGGATATGTTTCGGGGCCCCCTGGGACCGAACCATCCAGATCCACCACCCGCCGAATGTCCGAAGCTGGGCGAGGGCTGGCAAATCCGTGCTGCTGAAACGTCTTCCCAGAAGAAAAAACAAGCTCCTGGAATCAAGCTCAGCGCACTAAATGGTAAACGGGCTGCTTCCCGAAAAGAAAAAACAAATTCCCGGAGCTCCGTTTTAGCAACCACGGGTTTGCCAGCCGTCGCCTGGCTTCTGAGAATGCAGTCCGCGGCAAGGATGCCAGTGCCCTGGGAGGCCATATCGACCTTTTGCGGGCGGGGCGCGGCCAGCGAAGGCGGCCAAGCATGGACCGAAGGGGGAGGATGCAAAGGCGGCCTTGGAGAGTCGCTCGTCCTTGCTGTGCGGGCTGGCCGCATATCCGTGTCCACCGCCCGCCGAATCGTCCTGTGGACGGCCTGTGGCCGGGGCGTGCCTCTCCTTAAGTCGGGCCTGTCCCCCTGCAAGGGGATTTCCGACGAAAAATAAGAAATACCCCAAAAATATTATTTAAAAAGAAAAAATCCAAAATGTGGGTTGTTTTTTATATTTTTTGACTTTGGGGGGGCATTTGGGGGGTATTTAGGGGGACACGCCCGACTTAAGCCTATCCCCTCCCCCTTGTGCCCCGAGGCCTGACCGCGCCGCCCGCACGAAGGCCCGGTCCGAAGCTTGCCGCCACCTCCTGCGAAGGGGGGGGGCAGGGAAGGGGCGGACCCTGCGGCCGACCGCGCCGCGCCGCCGCGCCCCCCGACCCGAGGAACGAGGAGCGGGGTAGACGTCAGCTGGCGGAGGTCCGCGCGGATCTCTTGGCTCAGCGCTGGATCCCCCTGGCGGCGCCTCCCGTGCCGCCCCTGCCGCGATGCGCGCGCCGGGGAGGGGGGTCCAACGCCGGGCCAAGAAATCCGCACGGGCATCCGAAGGTTTATGGTTAAGCTGACGTCCTCGCGTCGCGAAACAATTGCGACTGGCGGTTTTTGTTGGCACCTTTCGGCCGTCAAGGGCCCCTGCCAGGCCCCGGCTTAGTAAAACAAAAAAACTGGGGATGAAGAGCTGGTCCCAAGGGAAAGGTCCAGACCTCCGGGGAGCCACGATTTGAAGAAAGCACCAGGAGTCGGATCCCTGGAGGCGTCGGACGGGTGGCTCCTGACCCCGAGCCGCGGTGTGACACTCCGGGCGCCTGGTGACTCCAGGGGCCCCCGATGGCCGAGAGCTCCCAGCACGCTTCTTCCGTCGGCGGCGAGGCAGAATGGCTGCACCAGCGGCAGAGTGAAACGGGGCCGCCGAGAAGCGAAGTGGCCAGCGCGCAAAAGAGAGGGGAGAGGGCGGACGGGGCGGCCGCGGAGGGGGGGAAGCGGCGGGGCCACTCGGAGGCGGACAGCTCCCAGCACACGTCCGCTGCGATTCTTTCACGACGCGAGAATGTCAGGGCATTCTTAGGGGGCCACATGTGAACCCTACCCCTACCCCCCACGATTTCTGAGGGGGAGGGGGGGGTTCACTTCGCTCGGGAGCTCCCGAACGAAGTGAACCCCACCCTCCCCCTCAGAAATCGTGGGGGGTAGGGGTAGGGTTCACATGTGGCCCCCTAATTCTGGCCCCACGTGGGCGGCCTGCAAGTACTCAGCGTCCACCAAGGTCGGGGCGTAGCAGACGGGACCGGAGGATCGAGCCGCAGCTGCGACGCATCGGCGATGCATCGGCGATTCCATCGGCGATGCACTGGCATGCACCCGCGACGTCGGCGATGCGTCGGCGCCGTCGACGTGGAGAGAAACGCACTCCATGTCTAGCCGCATCGGCGATGCATCGGCGATGCGGCGCGACCCTCCGAACCCATCTGCTCTGGCCCCATCTGGGAGGCCTGGAGAGCACGGGCACCCGCACCGCCCTGGGCCCCTCCCGAGGCGCGCTCCGAAGCAGCGTCTCCAGGCGAGCCCAGCCGCAACGACGGGGGCGCTTCCAGCCCGTTAAGGAGCGGAGCGACCTCTCCCGTCCCTCCTCCTCCTCCTCCTCTGACGTTGGCCAAACACAAGCATCTTGGCTGTTGCGTTCTTCCAGTGGCGCTGCGCCTGCGAGGGGCGAGGCAAAGGTGAAAGACTACCGCCTCAGGCCTGCAGGCCGACGAATCACGCCCGGCGGGATCCCTCCTCCTCCTCCTTCTCCTCTTCCCTCCCTCCCTTCCCTTCTCCCTCCCTCACTGCTCCCTCCCCCCCCCTTCCTCGCTCCTCCCTCCCCCCTCCATCCCTCGAACACCCCTCAGCGCACCAGTCTGCCGTCGGCCGGAACCGCCCATCGAACTCTCCACTCACCTTCGCCAGCCAGCGCCGCCGCTCTGCCCTCCAGCCCCGGCGCGCTCCGCGTGCGAGGCCCTCCAGCCAGCCCCGCCGCGGGCCTCGACCGGCGCCGAGGGCGGCCAGCGACCGCCGCGCTGCGCTCTGCACGATGGCAGCTTCCAAATCAGCACGCGCAGCCCGACGATTGATCGCCGCGGCGCGGGCGGTGCCCAGCCGGAGCGCGCCGAACTCGCGGCTCTCGCGGCGCGCGGCCGCAAGGGCGCGCTGCGCCAACGCGCCCATCCCTCCAAAGATCTCGATGGTGCACGGCGTGCCAGCGCGGCCGCAGCGCCGCGCCTCGCCCTTCGCGCTCTCGCGCGCTGCGGCGCCAGGCCTCCCGCGCTGCCTGCCGGAGCCGCCGGCGAACGGGGGCCGGAGGGCGACGCACAGGAGGAGGCCGGGCGATGGCGAGGTCCACGGTGCGGGCCACGACCTCGCCGTTCTCCCGCACGACGTAGATCTCGAGGATGGACCGCTCGGCGTCCACGGGCGCACTCGCGCGCGCAGCGCGGCGCCAGATCGCGGCGGCGACCGAGTTGTCCCCCTGGGTGGCCCGAGCGGCACTTGGCGCAAACGCTGGGGCGCTGGAGATGATCATCAAGTGGACGTCCACACGGCTCGTCATCGACAGCAGTGCGCATCGAGCACGTGAGGCCCCGCTGGGGCGGCGCTGCGAGGCCCAGCCGGGCGCGGGTGGCCATCGCCAACTGCGCATTTGCGGTGCGGGGGAGCTGGCGGGCAGGCGCGATGCCCCAGAAGGCGCCACTGCCCTCGCCGTCAGACGAGAGCACGCAAGTCTGGCGACGCCTCGGCATGACTGCGCGTAGGTCTGAGGCGTTCAGCGCGCCCACGCTTCGCATGGCCCTGCCACACTCGCAGGGGCGGTCGCGCGAACGCACGCCTCCGCGCGCCTCGACGCTGGTCGGCGCGCTCGGGGCTACATGGACAGGGAAGGCGAAGACAGCAGCGGCCAGGGCATCCTGCGCCCACGGCCCAGCGTCGCAACGGCGCCGGGCGGCCACCGTCTCGGGCGGAACAGCCAGCCTGACCTCGACTCCGGCAGCGCGCAGCACCTCCGCTGCCTCCCCCGCTGCCGCCGCACCCTCTGCGCTGCCTTCCGTCGGCCTTCCCAGCTCCGCAGCGCGGCACGCAGACTCGGCCGCGTCAAAAAGCTGCGGCCGCAGCTACTTCGGCCGGCAAATGGCAGAAAGAGAGAGAGAGAGAGAGCCCACCGAGCGACCCAGGCAGGGCGGTCTGCCGCTCAGTTCCTCTGGGGTCGGCCTGCTCGTGCACGCGAGCTCCCACCATAGCCCGCATGGAGGCCAAGTGCGAGGACGCGGCGTCGACCCGCTCCCTGGCCGGGGCTGCGACGGCAGGATACAGGCCGAGGACGGTCTCGTACCTCCCATGCGCCGCTGACCCGAGCATGGGCAGGCCGCCGGTGCCCCTGGGCACGCGCGCGCAGAATTCGAAGGGGCCAACTCAACGCGGGCTTCGCCGCACAGCCCAGCACAGTCCCACGCCGGGACCAGAGCGCGTGATTCATGTGCTGCCAGTCTGTGCCCACGAGCTGCGAGCGTCTCCTCCGACGCCGGCCGCGCTTCGACGAGGCCGCCCACCGAGCCGACCAGGCACGCATCATCCGCGACGCCCACGCGGACGGGGCTGCCGGCGGCCCTGGAGCTCCGAGAAGGCGCCCTCCAGGTCCAGAGCGAGCATGACCTTGTGCAAGGCAGGGGCCCCGGAAGGCTTCGTCGGGCTGCCGCGCGCCTGGCGCGACCCGCTGCCACAGCCCGGCGGCGCCACGCTTCCACTGGGCGGCAGCCAAGGCAGGCAGCGACGCGGGGGCCGCGCTCCGCAGCAGCGCGAGCAGCGCCCGAGCGAAGAAGCAGCCGCACGCGCTCTCGAGGCCGAGCTCCGCGAGAGCACGCGCCTCGGGCCCGATGCACTGCGACCCCTCCGGGAAGAGGGCGGACGCGGCCTGCTCCGCCTGGCACCAGGTCGGGCACGTCCCCATGCAGGCGGCTTTGGGGCGAAAAAAATCAAAAAATCGTCCCCATACTAATCTGTTACTATTTTTCCATACTCCTCCTGTGGAGGGACGTGCCCGACTGAAGCCTGGCAGATGCACTCGAGCCACTCCTTCGCGAGCTCGACTGCGCGCACGGGGCCGTCGGGCGTGACCACTCCCGCTGGCGCGGCTCACGGCGCGCTCGCAGCTCCTCAATCGCCACGTCGACGATCGTCGTCTCGACGAGCTTGATGATGACCTCCGCCTGAGCGAAGCGTCGAAGCTTCCAGGCAGCGGCGCTGGCCTCGTCCTCGGGCGCCCGCTCTTCGCAGCCAGCTGGCTCGAGGTTTCCGGCGCGCCAGAGGCGGTGCTCCTCCTCGCCCCGCACGCCCCCGACCTCGAGCAGCGCGAAGCCGCAAACAGCATCAACGCCTCCAGGGGTCGAGGCAAGCGCTGCGATCGGCTATACGTAAGAGTGACCCTGGGTAAGAGTGACCTTTGGTGCGCGGCTTTTGGGGGGCCGCGGGGGGGGGCCAAACCTGGGCGAGCAAGCAGCTGCCGCTGCTTCGTTCTCAGCCATCTGGGGACCCATCTGTGCCCGCACCAAAGGTCACTCCGGCGAAGGGTCACTCTTACGTCTAGTCGATGCGAGGCAGGCGCTGCGGGTTGCGGACGGCCCCGGCGCAGCGCCTCCGCGGAAGGCTGGGCCGAAAATGCGCCTCCAGATGCCGGCCTTGCGCGGGGCCTTCGCGCGTGCGATCTCGGCGGAAAGGGCCTGCACCTCCTCCTGCATAGCTTTGCGCTTGCCGTCGGGGATCGTGGCTGCCGCGAGGCGAAACATTTCCTGCCTCACGGCCTGCCTAGCGCTGTCCCGCGGCCTCTCTGCGCGCCTGGGCCACACAATCGCAATGGACGGATGTGACAGCCAGGCTCCAGCCGTCGAGTACATCTGCCTGGACTCGCGTCTCCTGCCAGGCTGCGCGGCGGCGCCCCCCCGAGCGCCCGGTCGGGCACTCCAGCAAAAGCTCGCGCAGCAGGCCCCCTTCGGCGACCTCTGCGCGCTTCACCCGGTGGCTGCGCGCGGCCCTGCGCGACACGCGCCCACACTGCTGCTCGTCTGTGGCCTGTTGCGGTAGGCGGCGGAGGAGAAGGCCTCGACTGCGAAGGCCCACAACCGCGCCTCCTAGCGCTCGGCGGAAGCCGCGTCGCGGTCCGTGTAGGTCTTGTGAAGCTGCACCAGGTAGACCCTCCACACCTCCATCGCCCTCGCAAGAGCATCCGGCGGCGGGCCCAGCGAGGTCGGCAACTCGGGCTCCCCTACGACTCGCTCAAGGCGACCCAGGTCCTGGCTTGGGCTCGATGCCTTCCTCGGTGAGGTCTCGGAGCCAGCCTCCCCGTCGAGCCGCCCAGCCGGCACAGGCCGCCTGGCGAGATTCACCCTCGACGTGGTCCTTAGTGGCCACGATGGGCACGCCGAACTGCCACTGCTCAAGGCAGACCGTGGGCCCGCTGCCGTCCGCGTGTGTGAGCTCCTCGTGCATCCAGTCAGCAGGTGCGTTCGCTGCATTCGCCGCGGCTCCGGCCGCCTGCGCGGCAGCCTCCTTCACGCGCTTGTCCTGGGCGACCTGCAAAGCGCCCCACAAGAAAGGGGATATGCAACCACCGGCTGCGCCAGCCCCGGCCTGCGCGAAAAGCCCCGCTCCCCGGGCACGCCAGCGCGCCAGGGCCAAGAGGGCCGCCCGGAAAGAGGGCAAGAAACGGGGGAAAGGGGAAGGGCGGGTGAGGAATGAAGCGGCCGGGCAGTGGCTGCGCGCGGCTTGATACCTTGACTTCCTCCCTCCTTCCCTCCATCAGTCCATCCCTCAGTAGTCAAGGGCCGAACGACTTCTGCGGTCCCTCGACTCGCGCTGGAACGGCCACGAGCTGCTCCAGATTTCCGTGGAGATCTATGGAGCTATCAAGGTATACCTGGATGTGGCTGGAATTACCTAGACTTCTCAGCATCTGCCTTGATCTATCCGGCTTGCTCCCCACACGTCGATTGGAGAAAAGTCGTCAATCTCTCAGGGACCCAGCGCGGCCCCAAGACGGGCGGCCAGCAGGGGACAGCGGGGCATCGGCGCCCCCAGACCCTGGCACTTCGACGCCTCGGATGCATGGGCCCCCGGCGGGCGGGTGGCAATACGGGGGGTGATCTGAATGCGGGGGAAGAGCAGGGCCCTTCGGGGACCCTCTAGGGCCATGTCCTTCAGCCCCCCCCCCCCCCCTCTACAGTCAACCCGTATCACACGGACGCACGATAAAGGAAGGCCTTGGAAGGCCACGTCGACACTTTGCGAGCTGGGCGCGGCCAACGAAAGCGGCCAAAGATGGACCGAGGAGGCAGGGATGCAAAAGGGTACCCTTTTGGGAAGGTTGCCCACCCTGACTGCGCGGGTGGACTGTGGGCCCGTCCCCCCCCGTTCACCACCCGCCCGACCCCCGGGCCTCTCGGTCCGCTCCCCGGGGCCAGCTTCGCCCAGGCCTCCGACGGCTCGACGCGCTCGGTCGCGGCGCGCTGCTCCTCCAGGGGCCGCCCCTCCAGGGGCCCTGGGGGAGGGCCCTCGACAGACGGGCCCGGGGACGAGAGGGCTGCCTCCGAGGAGGGC